CACAGGTGAATTTGGTTAAAAGCATTACTACTTTTACATACTTTTGTGAGGTTATGGAAGATGAGAGGTTTGATTTCAGTGTAACACCCAGTTAGTTAAGAAACTAAACTGAAGAATTGAGGCAGAACTGGTCCGAAATGTTGGGTAGTATGTTATTAATACCCATAGGGAAATTCCTTTTCTGCATTTGACCAGCCAGTGCCTTGGTCAAGAGCACTGATTGGAGAATTAACCTAATGTACTTTGGACACGGGAGAACATGCAAACTCCCTGCTCCAACCAAGAATCGACTCCAGAAGCTTCTTGCTGTGAGGCACAGCGCTAACCACTGATCCACCCTGCCACAGGCTAATACTTGTCACTTTCATCATGTAGATTAAGCCTAGTGTGTACCCTAACTAATACCCTCTCCATGTGTAAATGCAGGTTTTTGTTTTTGTTTTTTGTCCCATTACCAGTTACAAGTTTGCCTTTCTGATTTTTTCTTCTTTTGTGTCACATTTGACGTCACAAACGTGCCGGAAAGCAGCATTTGTTTCTTGCCTTGGGCTGCGAGCAATGCCTCTTTGACTCAACATTTTCGATACGTTGATGTGTATCCCACCGTGTTTCACAGTGCCAGTAGCAACATGTCTCCTTATTTCTTCTTCCCCTTGAATCAAGAGAAGTTCTCTCACCTCGTTGTCTTCCCAGTGTTGCATCTTGCACAAAAATTGCCATGGCACCCTGAATCTATTTTACAATAACGTTCATGTCTTGGACTATATCTTGCATATTGCAACTATCCTTTATACTTAATATATATAAACTGGATAAACTATACTATATATTTAAATAAAGCTCATATCATTCACATTGTCTTTTTTATTATCATCTTTATTTCATCTTTATTTATATTTTCTTATACTATGTTTTTTGTTATGCACCAATATACCAAGGCAAATTTCTTGTATGTGAAATCCTACTTACAATATTTATCCAATATATTATGATTGTGATTTCTATAGACAACGCCAACGAAGAAAAAAAAAAAATAAAATAGCATAACTTCTATGTGCCTAGCATTGTGCTAGAAAAGGGGCAAAAATAAACTTCCAACCTTTGCGTCATTTTTTCATCTCTGCTGTTTGGAGCCGGAGTCAATAAATACCCATGAAGACTGCAGAGTCATTTCAGTCGGGAATGAATGCCGATTGTACCCTTAACCACAGAACAAAAACCAGATGTTAGTGAGTTACTGGGCTTTTTGTCCAGGTTAAAATGGGCTTTACAGAGGTTTTGCTGCCTTCTGATGTGATCTGTAAGAACTATAATGAAATCCATTAACCCTGTGTGCATTCTAAAGGCACATAACATGCACTTTGTTTCATAACTTAACATTCTTCACAAATGACTAATTATATTATATTATATTATATTATATTATATTATATTATATTATATTATATTGTAAGATTATATCTGTAAGACCCTGTCAGGTCGGAATGAAGCCATGAAGTACATTTACATAATTGTCTCCTTTATCTGAATGACATAAAAACAATCATTTTACCAGACAGATGAAGCCAGCAATGTCTGAAAAGGGCTCAAGACACATAGAAAAAAGTACAGAAGGGGTAAATGTCTGGCTTAGGAAAACGCAGATAACTCTAACCCTTTTGAAAAATAACAGCAGCAAAGATTATTGGTTGGTATCAATATCTGTATCTTAATTCAAGCCAAGTCCCCCCTGCAATTAACCTACAGGACCTCAATCCCAAATACACTCTAAAACTGCTGTCAGCCGCTTCAACACATCAAGCCAGTGAAGGGAACTGAGGCATAGACCCTGCACTTTTGACCTGGTCCCTGTTTTTTCCTATAAAGGTTCTTCCTTGGGTGCTGACTGCATGAGTTGTAGCTCCACAGTGATGATTCAGTCAGGGCCAATATGGTATATAAAAAGCTGCAGAAATGAGGTGCAGCTTGGGAACAGCCAGAGTGGTGGATGAGATGCATACAGCTGAATGATGGGAGAGAAAAAAACAGAGAAGCTGGAGAGATATAAGCAGCTGGCACCAAAACGCCCACCAGTTCAGCACAACAAACACAAGCACGCACACAAGCACACATATACTGTATACACACACATATACAGTAAATTAATGGAACCAACCTGAACCTTTGACATCTGATCTGTCTCTTACTGCCTGGTTTCAGGGTTAACTGACACCCTCTGTATGCTTACAGTTCACAAAATACTATATAATCAGGTGTAGTTATACTCACATAATAAAAACGTTTTAGTTTTAACCCGGGTTTGGTAATGCTTAATCATAAATGCATCATGACTTTCTGAGCGCTAATGCGCCACTGCACAAAACCTAAAGTAGCCCCTAACCCCTCAGTCATAGAGTCCGCCACCGACCCTACTCCACCCTCCAACACACACACATACATTCAGTGTAATCAGACCAGATGATAATGATGGTAACAATCACAAATGACATTCTCTGATTATCTTCTCTGCTACACTGGTTTCACTGTGCATCTGGAGATTGAAAGATTGCGAGAAAGATTTGTGTGTGTGTAAGGAAATGACTCGGGGAGATGAGTCATAATATAAAAAGGAGTAGGCTAGTCATCCAGATAGATGAGCTTAAAGACTGTCAATCAGCGAGGCGGGTGGCAATTAGCCCAATTTAACCGGCCTCAGTCTGCAGAAAAAGACATTTTAGATTTCTTTATATGTTTGTTTCAAAAATTACATTTTTATTTATTCCTCTTGTCACTAAGTTGTATTTTTTATTTTTTAAAAGATGTCTCTCTTCTAAAACTCTAGTTTGAAGGAAAACATATTTTTAGTTTCACAGCTGCAGTACATAAAATGTGCAAGCTAACAGAAACAGATATTTCAATTCAGGCTTCGACATTATCCTTTTACAAAATCAGCTCCCAGGTTACAGTGGTGTTAGCTCCAGCCAATTTGTTTGACAAATGGCCCATCATTTAAACCCATAAATCTCTTCCTTAATGTGGCTCGCAGGTGTGTTTTCAACAGAAACTCTGCAGGGACACAATTTCTGCTCCTCATTATTTTCTCACCTCCTCCCTGAGGCTGTTTATAAAAGTGGAAATATGTGCTTTAAATGAATCGAGGCTAGTTAAAAGGAACTTGATACAGAATGGATTTGGGCTCAGCAGGCAGGTGTGTAAGAACTGAAGAAATACGACTGATAGCATTCAACCATCTCATTACCTGTCTATGGCTGTCAGCTGTCATTGCACACACACAGGACACTCATAAGTCAGTATAGCTAGAGGGCGAGTGTACAGTATGATTGTTTCCACCAAAACCAGGTGTAATGATGGGTTGTGTGGGTGAGTGGCAGATGTTGGCATTCTCTCTCTCTCTGTGTGTGTCTTCCTCAGTCAAGTCAAATGCATGTATGGCTGACAGTTGTGAGACAGAGTGAAACACTGGGTGCAAGTGTGTGAACACACACACATATATCCCACTCCTGTCTATGTGCACCTCACTTCTAGGTCGCTGAAAAGCAGAGAAAAAGGTTTATAATTCCAAAGTGTGTTCAGCGTGTTAACAGAAACAATCAGCTGACCATCAAAAGAATACATGAAAATAATTATGTTTCACTTACCAGATCTATTTATTGGAGCTTGTAGTCACATCTCATGGCCTTCTTTAGCGCAATGACTTTGCTCAGACTGTTCAATTGTAATCAAGTATGGAACTTTTGGTTTTCTCAGATGTCAAAAATTAACATTCAACCTCAATAAATATGTAATTCCAAACTAGAAAAGGAAGAGAAGGAAGACAAGTCTCTAAGTTAAGTCAATAACAACTGTGTGTGATGATGGTTCTAAATACTATATACATTGCAAATAATCTAGCTGTTTAATATAATTCATGCTAAAATTATTAACTGATTTATTAACAGAAAAACAGAAAATGGATAAACCTATTTTATAATTAATCAATGCCTCACTGGTGAGAATCTGTGACCTTTTCTGAACTTAATATCTTTTAACGATCAAGATTCAGTTAATTCATCCACAGAATCACTGAAATTGCAGAGCTCCCATCCTAATCAGTCAATGCTGATTACAGAACATAAAATATGAACAACCATAAAATAAAACCTGGGGCGCTCTGGTAGCTATGATTATCATGTTCACCTTCTTAGTTTGGCATGCTAACATTTACTTATGTGCACTAAACACATAGTACAGCTGAGGTTGATGGGAATGTTTGCAGGCATTTGATAATAACATTACTGGGCAATTTAAAAAAATGTTGCCCCGATGACTGCGCTAGATTAAAACTGATTAAAATTCATCCCGAGGGGGACATGGGGGGGAATGCGTGTACCACAACGTAACATAACATAAAACTATATTGCACAATAAAATCTGTTAGATCAGATAAAAGCCAATCGAACGATAACATGAACAACTAGAATTAAATTTGGTGTTTACAGCCATACAAATGCATCGTCTTACTGTCCCTTCCCTTGAGAGATGAGAGAGAATGCTAGCTTAGTGAGCGTGCCAGGTGGTCTTAGTCTGCCGCTGCAATTAATAAATAAATCCATATTGTCTTTTTATTTTATTTTGTGAGATAACGAGACAAGATAGACTTTATACACACATTGTGTGACAGAAAACCAAAGGAAAAATAGGCATTTCCAGGTGGAAGCACCTCATGATGTCCCACGGCCATCTATTATTACTGTTATTATTTTTATTTAAGTCCTTTTTAATAAATCTATATCGCCCATGTGCACCTGATGTTCTTCACCCCATATAATCCTTTAGGGTTTGCACTGTTGGTCAGACAAAACAAGCAATTTGAAGATGCTACTTATAGATAATTGGCAGATTAATTAGTAATGAAAATAATCATTATTTGCAGTCCTACAATAATTATGTCTCACTAAAATCATCATGCAATGCTGATTGTCCTTTAAATTAGTGAAAGAAGCACAAACAAACAAGACACATTAGTTTTATTTATATTCTCTTTAATATATCTTAAAAAATGGATATACAATCTGAGAAAGAAAACGTTGAGGATTTGAAGAAGAACAGGTTGTTAATCTTCCTCTCATGGCCCAAAGATGGAGTTAGCCCAAGCAGAGATATTCCCCAATAACATCCTGGGGGGAAAAAAACAAAAACAAAACACTGCTAACTGCCAAATTAAAGGACGTATGACAAGCTGTCCAATAGGAAGCTAAAGTCAGAGTATTAGTAAGGCTAAGATTAAGTACAGAGTATTGGGCTACCATATCCCGGAGGCAACTGCTACCACGACAAATAACTGTCATGGCGATCACACAGGATGGCTTTATATTAATAGGCAGTTACATTAGCCTTTAAGGTTTGAGTGGACCAACACCAGGCTGGAAAAAGCCATGGAACGCCCACATTCACATCTGCTTTCATTGGACCTGGTATTTGTCATATTCTCAGGTCCTTTATTTTGGCAGAAGCCAGTGTCGTCTGTTGTTCTGTTTACTTTCACCATGAAAACAGTAATAATTCGAGCTATTGAACCCTGGGCCAGAATAACAAAGAAAAGAGGGAACCAGAGCATGCTAACAAATCACATAATTTCAACATGTCATACTGTAACTGCCCACACACACACGCACGCACGCTCACTCACGAGCGCTCAACAAGCACAAACTCTCGCACGCATCACACACATCTCCAATGTAAAATTTCACTCTTCGACAACTACATTTCTGACATCCTTATTAAAATGCACCACTGGCGGATCACATAGACTTTGCCTCATGCAGACGTGTGAACACAAATCTGAATGGAGAGAAAGAACAGTCTTAAAATTCAGAGATACGACTCACACTGGAGGCACGGCGCTGGCCAGGGCCGAGCAAAGCACGCGCATACGGACGCCACGCCCTCACTGCCTAACTGAGTGACAGTCTCTTTCTTTCTCTCTATAACACACACACACACAAACACAAAATGACCATGTATTTTATGGCCAACATCCACAATAGCAGAGGTTCCTAAAGACAGTTTGAGGTTATCTGGTTAGCTCAATATTAGCAGAGCTGTCCCGCTGTGCAGTGCACCTCATCACCTACTCTAGTCAATGTATGAGCTTCAAGTACCACACATACTTGATGAAAAGAAAAGAGTAGTTTCGTGTGAAAACCAATATGCTTACTCACTTCTTTAGCTAGTCAGCTTGCTATCTGAGCGCCTTCATGAATCTCTGCTACGGACTTCTCAAAACACATCCAGACAGTAAAAACATAGAGTCCATACACACATAGAAAGAAAGAGAAAACTGAGTACTGTCCTTTTAGAAAGACACACTCCACATGTCAGCTTGGGAAATCTCCCACAGAGGGGAGTGAGAGGGGATGCATCGTGCAGTTAGAAAGTCTTGGGACAGCTCAATGTATTTTATTCCATACTGCAGCACACTGATAATAAAATGAAACAATGACTGTGAGGTTACAGGGCTGACTTTCTGCTTTAAGGGTATTTTAGGGTATTTTAAGGTGTTCACATCCACGTTGGGTGAACAGTGTAGGACTCGTAGTAATCCCCAGATTTTAGGACAATGATCCTGAACATGCAGACCAACGATATATGGCTCTGTAAAGCCGAGCAGAGCTGAAGATTCAGATGATAATTCTCTGCAGGTTCAGCACTGCAAACAAACCCTGTTCGCATTGTTTGATACAGTGTCATTCTAAAGATATCTTTGTCCATTAAACCCGGGGGACTATGAACAAAAAAAGAGCAACAATTCCTACACTGTTTTATTTGTTCTGGATGTAAAATTAAATCTAAATCTGTCCTTTAAACTTGGAGACATTGCTTAATTTTAAAGGTCCAGTGTGTAACATTTAGGAGGCTCTAATGGCACAAACTGGATATAATATTCATAGGTATGTTTTTATTAGATTTCAGAATCACCTGAAAATAAGAATCGTTGTGTTTTTGTTTACTTAGAATAAGCTGTTTATATGTATAGACATTGAGGGTCGCCTTCCGTGGAGTCCTTCCTGTTGAAACGCCATGTTTCTACAATACAAACACTGGCTCTACATTGGGGTGTTTGCGTTTTTTACACGTTTCTCAGCCGGCGTAGTTTCTCCTTCGTGTTTGGAAGGGACGGGTGAAGTGACAGAGTTGCGATCTCCAATACACCGCTAGATGCCACTAAATCTTACACACTGGACCAAATGTGCACAGGTACAGAGCAAACACACCAAAAATGTGTCACTGTCGCAGTACTTTCTGACTGCACTGTAAGTACAAATAAACCTCTCAATCCTCAACGGGAAAAAGTGCATGTGGTTGTGTGTGTGTGTGTGGGTGTTCGTGAGTGTGGAACAGAGACAGATGGAGGGAGGACAAAAAAGGACAGTGAGGAGAGGAAGAGCAGGGGCACAGAGACAAAGTGAAGCTGAAAACAGTACAATACATTTGGCTGTGGTTTTAGTAGTCGTACTTTATCCCACTTGGAGCTGAAAACACACAGAAGCTCTGCATGTGAGCTTTGTGTGTGCGTGTGTGCACATGCAAGGAGAATGACAACAGAATGGGACAATGTGGCCATTCACATGCTGTCTAGTGGGGCTGTGTATGCATGTATTCACCTTTTTACTACAGGATGTGACACTGTGTGTGTCTATGTATGTGTGTAAATGTTGTGAACTCACATGCATTTTCTCTTTAGCGACACAAACATGGCAGGCACTGGAACAGAGAACTGATAGTAACAGATATTATTTCTCTTGATTAGACAGCTGAATGTGACTTCCTTTAATGCTTTTTTTTTTTTTTTGCGCCGGTCATCATCACACCTAATCCCTTGCCATGACGTTGCCATGGCTCGTTTCCAGACAGGTTTAGTGAGGCGGCGTCATTCAGTGATCTTGCCACAACGAACAGACATTGTGGTCATTGCAACACTCAATCGATTAGGATAATTAAAGCATATTTTTCTTTTGTATGCAAGCCCTTGCTCAAACGCATAATTTTGTTTCTTTTTTTATTTAGTTTCTGCAATGTGGAGTTTATTGCAACTGGGTGAACAGCAGGGCATGGGTGGGGCTGTGATGGCGAGAGGAGGGGAGTGGTAAGAGAGAGACCCAGCTGTTGATTCACACACGTAGGGTGGGGATGGAGTTGGCCAAGATAAGCAGAGGCAAGGTAGAGCAGTTTGGTTGGTTGGTGCAGGCTGATGTAGGTAGCCGATGCTTCTATCATCTGGCGTAGTGCTTGATGTAATCTTGAACCTTATTTCGGAAATCCTCCTGGATTGGAGACAGGCAAAGGTAAAGAGAGAGTGTGAGAGTTATTTCGAAAAGCCAGACAAACAGACAGTATATTTAACATTTAGACCTGGCCAATTCACCAATTACCACTTTGAGTATAGCTATGCCTAACTTACTGCTCATATGCTACTGAAAGAACATCTACAAAGACATAATAAACAGGTTCAAATGCACCCAAGATGCACCAGGGCCCATTTCAGGTGATGTGACACACACACACTGGGGCTACCAGTTAGTCTAATGTAAACAGATGCATACTCCCCACCACCACTATTTAGATGTACAGTAATAGATGCAATGTGTTTTCTGGCTGGCCAGTAAAGGTGCTCTGATATGAATCGACTGTATGTATGGATGCAATTTTCTGTCCCGTTACTAATTTCAGTATCAATATTGTCAATATCGAATACCTCATAAGAATCTGATAATATCCGATAACTGGCATATAGTGATAAATAAGGCAATATTACGTGACTGTGGCAATCAAAACAAATCTAGTTTGCGGCCCTCTGACTTTCCCCTGTCAAACCCCTTCTGGTCATGTGTGCCCTCTCCTCCCCTTCCCATGTTTACTCTCGTCTTCATCATGTCCCTCCTGGTTGTGCTTGGCTTATTTCCACCCTCATCCACCATCCATCCCTCCATCCTGTAACCTCCCCTCTGCCGCTCCTTTGACCCATCCCTCCTGGTTACATCAAGCTCTGTGTGACCTCTACTCTCCAACTGCCCTCTTTCCTCTCCTCGGCTCTGTCCATCATTTCGGGTCCTCCATGTCTTTCTCTTCAACAACTTGGACTGCTGAAGCCGAGACACGCTTGATTTAACTTAGTCTGCTTGTGCCTACACCGTCTTCATATTTCAGCCAAACTATTGTTTAATACATTAGGCAGAATACATTACAGTACACACACACCAATACAATTGAATTGTTGGAATCAAAGACTGCTTTAATTTGAGCTGAAGCAGCTTTCCTTTCTGAAAGGATTTCCTTTATTCTCTCTATACCAGAAAACTTAGAAAAACTGCACACACTATCACAGCTAAGGAGACATTCTTTACTGTGATTTATTATGATTTATTATTGGCAATAGTGATTAATAAATAAAAAAATAAATCAAAAAAATCAAAGCACCCATAGTCATGTAAAGAACTGTATTACCTATGACTTCCATACAAAGATTGCAAAAGCAACTCATATACAGTAGCTTCTGAATGTGGGGTGGAACACCAGTTTATGTTTTTTGTTGCCACAAGAAGACAAAAGAAACAAGACAGTTTTAAATATTTTTTTCCCAGTGCACCACAAAGTCACTCCAGACAATATGTACTTGGGCTGAAATGCTTCACTCATGCATGTTTAATTGCTTCCCACATCTCAACTTACTATTCACCTCACAGAAATACACTAGAATATTTAACCAGGTTATTTGTGGCTAAATTAGAAGTGTGCTGCACATACTCAAGAGGGATTTCACACTTCTCCTTTGCCAGCCCACCACCTCTTTTTAGGCCCCCTCTTTTGTGTCCTGTTCTTTCCTTGGTACCCCTATCATCCATCAATCACTGCAGAGGTCTAAGCCATTAAACGCCATCACGCTGCCTGAGTCACGCTGTCCAACATGAAATTTCACATACAATTGTCCCATACGGACATCAGTGCACTGATTTACGCCACAGTTCCAGTGGTCAGTTAGTCACACACAAATTGGCTTGTTGTGGAGTGAGAGACAGAAAACGTGAGAAAAAACAAGAATGCAGAGGGAAGGAAGAAACAGGAGATTGGAAGAGAAGGATACAGAAAAAAGAGGCCATGGTCTGTGTCTGTGTGTTGTGTGTGTGTGTGTGTACAGATGACAGACAGGAATGTTGAAAAGCTGCCAGCGACAAAAACTCCAACAGTGATGACAGCAGTTTGAGTATCTGTCCCCAGAGGGATGATGGATTGGTTTTATTGCTGCTGAGGGATCTCTCTCCCTCTAGGCTCTATTTTAATGCCACAAGTGCAATGACCAGTGCAAACGGTGGGTTTTGGTTGCACGGACTGCGTAGGTATCTCCAAGCACACATGCTATTTTGGTTTATTTAGGACAGGTGAAGTGGCACTATGTGCAAAAAGCTAGACTTAACAAATGAAGAGACAACTTCTTCAGAAACGGCTGCTTTAAATTAGACTAATATTCTACCACTGGGTGCTCAGAGATGCTCTCTTTATGTTTAAGCTGATAATAACCTGATTTGATGTAATTTGAAAAGCCAATGGTTCAAATGATTCAATAATTCAATAATCTTTTCATACTTTGAGGTCAGAGGCAAAGCGCATAATCCAAGCTGTGAGCAATGTGCACACAAGGTGAAATTTAAATACTGTCAAATAAAACCCTCAAAGCAACTAACACATTAACTTGAAATAATAAGAATAACACACTGAAAGTTTATTTCAGTTGAACTGGTAATAAAAACAAAACCATGAGCCTGTTGAAGTTGCACAAAGGGAGAATCACTTCACACAACTTAAATCCGATCTGAAAATATGAGAGTCTTCAGCCATGCTGGCGGCAACATGCCAGCTTAGTTTTGCAGCTATTGGATTATAAACCGAAGTATATGACATTGTTGGATATAGAATTGAATTGTACAGAATTTTGGCCCGATAATGGCGCAAGACTGAAAGTTACGGGATGGTGAAAGTGATTACAATTGATCCTGAGGGTGGCATGAATGTCAAATTTGATGTAACTCGATCCAATAGTTGTTACATTTTACTGGAAGAGTGAAAACTTTGGCCTGCTGGTGGCAGTCAGAAGATTACCAAAGTCCCTTAAATTCATCCTCTGGGAACCATTCATGTCTGTACAAAGTTTCATGGCAATCCATCTGATAATCGTTGGGATATTTCAGTCTGGACCAAAGAGGTTGCCCAACAGACAGAACGACTGCCATTCCTAGAACCACGCTGCACACACGCATAAAAGCTTTTGCACACTTCTCACTTCTAATGCCTTTAAATTTTGTTAGTCCTGATGGCACTTTGCATTTCAGAAATGTGAGACCCATTCTGACTTACAGTAAGACTGACCTGATTGAATATTCACAGATATCAATATCCTACATTTAAAAAAAAAAAAATTTAAACTAATTATGCAGAAACACGGTCAATGACCAGAATTATTTCCATCTGTCTGTCTCAAGTTGTTCTGTGTAAAATGGACACACTTGAAAATATGGGATATTGGTTCATCTGTCCCTCTTCATCTGTGTTTTTGGCATCTTTTGTCTATCAAGCTGTCTCTTAAGCTTCTATAAACACTTAAAACAGATACACATACACATAGTTTGCCACAGCATGACATTTAGTGGAAAAGGTTTGGCAGAATTAGGTCTGCAGGATGCACAGACACCAAAGAGGGGGTGAAGTTAAACAAACAGTGGGGAGTATCTTAAAATATGTGAAATGTGAAAAAAAACAAAAAAAAAAAAAAAACATCTCACACCAGTTTACCAGATAAATTCACATACATACAACTTTGTTAGGCTATAGCTTACTCTTCTTTTTGGCTCCATTTCACCCGTGGAAGGCAATTAACTCTCCTGTCCTCCAGCAATCTGTACAGGTGCTCACACTATGTTCCACTATCGGAGGTAAGGGGATGCAAATGAAACCCTGTGGGTATCAATGGCTAATTTAAAATCTGCCAAAAGTTGAAACTAAGCAACGGAAATCCTCAGGATGAATTAGGCAAACAGAAAGAAAGACGAGAGGTTAGGTGTGAACAGGGAAAGGGAGAAACGGAATAGAGAAGAGAGAGATGATGAGGGATGAAGAGGTGTGGAGAACACCCAAAGGTCCCAGGGTGTTTTCACACTTTTTGAGAAATGTTGATATTTCTGTGAGTTTTGTAAAGATGTCGTTTTGACATCATTTGCTTTTGTGTTGTTGCCGATTTTTAATCAGCACTGGACTGGCCATTCATTTTGTCATTAAGCTTTTTTTTGTCCTTTCGGGTCTCCTAACCCACATAGATCTCAGTTTTCCTGTGTCCAGCATACTATTTCGGAGCAGCCTCTCATCTTCAACCAGAGCCAAAGCAGTCGCTATCGCCTGTCCATTTATATATACATATATATTTATATATTTAAATAAAAGGTACGGATATGTGCCTTTACTTCATAGCTAAATCAAAGGACAAGTAATTTGGTGGTTGCCTTGCAACAATTTAAAAAAACCCATACCGCACTGCTCTTTCTTAAATGTGGGCTTCAACACAAAAAAAGGCAAATGTGCCTTGTGTTTGCAACCTGCAAAACGAGCTCTGTCTGATCAGGGCCTCAGGTGTTAATAGCGACAGAGCCCGAAGCATTCAATTTCATCTTTCAACAGCCATACAAGCAACAGTATGAGAGGGAGTGCAATACCATCACAGATAATAGTAAGGCTATACCAAATGTCCTTTTTTTAACCTTTAATGCTTCTATTGAGGTTTTTTTAAATGAAGTCATCATATTTTATGTAACACCCTGTTAATACAGGAGTGTGTGCCTCGCTTTATGTGCACCAAGTGGGAGAGCAAACAGTTTTTTGGCAGCAGTGAAAATGGTGTTTTTGAAAGGATAAACTCCAACAAATATGGACTGAAGGAAAATATTTCATTAGATAAAAATAAAATTTTGGAAATTATTACATCTCTCTTTTTCCAATAAATTTGACAATAAACTGTGCAGAAAGACCTACTTTAAATCATGACGAATACAACGTGCAAAACATTTTATTTGAATGTCACTTCAGTTGAGAATGCTAATGTCAATGTCAAAGTTACGAATGAAGCTTCAAACTATTCGGCACAGCCCTACATAATAGCACAGCTGAGATGCTATCACAGGCATGAGTCTGAAGGAACAGGACGATTACTGTGACACGTCAACACCGTGAGGGAGTCACTGTCTGTCCCAAACATACTTCAGGAGTGTGGATGCATAAGCACCAGTTGGAGAAAGAATAGGATGGGGTTGTTGTGACAAGGAGTTAAGATTTGCCTCACCTTCCTTCTTAATTTGCATTGCTCTCTGTCACAATTTGCATGAACAATACCATGGACCCAGTGCTTCCTGAAAATCAATTAGTTTGGATTTGTCCTCCACTTCATCGAGAGTTGGGGAGAATTGTAAGGTATATGGGACAACAGGATGTCATGAATAAATCACTAAAGAAAAGACTATCCAAACAATTTCCTTAACAGAGCACTTAACATCAGATGCCAGACTTCCCTCTGTATGCTATTGTTGGCCTGACGTTCTTGTTATTCACTCCCTCGCTGCCACAACAGAACTGTGACACTAAACTAACAGAATGGGTACACACCATAATGAGGTGACTGGAGCAACATTTTACTGTATAATTTATATGTTGACCTCACTAGATGTGGCATTAATGATCACTTACTTTGCTGTGTTTGCTACTGTCATACTGTTTGGCAGCTTTGACGTTACTATGATGAGATCAACTTGCATATATAACATTGAAGGACTCATCCAAGCCTTAACACACTTACACAGATTGTTACCGCATAATTATCATTATCTCGCTCATTATAACACACTTGCTATAGAGTGCTGCAGGCATGATGTATGCATCTTTATTTTTGTATGCCAACCTGGAAGTTGGCATCATCCTGGTTTCTTCGACAAAAAGCAAATGGGATTTTCCCACTGGATTTTCGATTGTTGCAGAAAATAAGCTCTGTGGCAAACAGCGCTTTATATTTACATGTTTTGTTCAGCAAGATAATCTCAAATAAACACCACTTGGTATGCAGAAGTAAAAAAACGAACCACACCATAGTCGCATGACTTCAACGTCACCACCACTAAACTTCCAACTTGCAATTAAATTGTATAATTAAAATGTACAAGCAGTACAATTTGAAGTTTTTAAGAGTGCAAGGTCTGTGTTAACCACAGACCTTATTTCAGGCATCTAACCAAACACCCAATCAAAAAAAATAAATAAATAACTCTGTGGCGAAGGAACTAGAAGTGCTAAAATGCTAACTCGGTTTTGGGTTTTAGGACTCATTCCTGCAGCACTACAGAGCTGGAGTTAGTAGGGAGGCCATAATAAGCATGCTGCTACATTTGGAGACATCTCTCATTATGTATTACAAAAAAAAACTGCACAAACCCCACCGAATGTCACAGTGACTGTAACAGCAAGCCTAAATGATCAGGTGACTGATAAAAGTGAAAAACATGAAAATGAAACTATATTGATAATCATCTCATGTGACCCGGAACAACCTTGATGACTAATGGGATCCTACGGGGCTACAGCAACCACTCCTCAGGGGAGAAAGCTAATAACAAGGACAGAATCCAGATTGCTGTAAATGGTGTGTGTGTGTGTGTATGTGTGTGCGCTTGACATGATTGACTATTGATTGAAAGAAGAGACTAAGCCACTTGAGATACCTGAGGAAGCAAGAGAGCGAGAGAGATAAAGAGAATCAATCAATGTAGATGTAGAAGATTTAGTATGCAGAGGGGGACGATGGGATGTGAGAACTCTGGGAACAAACCCTCCAAGGACCCTGTCACTCTGTCTGCTATACTAGTAGTCAATATCCCATTACTGTACACCGCAAAAAATCTTCTGCATTATGTCCGAGATACACTGGCACCAATATTTCATTGTACTGCAGACTTCTGAGCTCTTCTGCTTTCTGGCAGTTTGGCCTTTTCAACCATTTTATAGACATTTGACATTTAAATAAAGGCGCATGTGTTCATGCTGCTGGGTGGTGTGTGAAGTCGATGTGCTTCAGTTCACACCATTCAGTTTCCATACCTGCTACCAGCTGTTTGTAGTGTGATCATTATGAACATACCGCACACTCAGATGCTGTGTAATATAGAAATGAGACACAGCAAATGTTTCCAAATAAGGGAAACAGACGCCAAAAATGTTAAATGCTTAAAACAAATCCTTTCCATGATATGGAAAAGCCTAATTAGTATTATTTAGTTAAACAAAGTCTCTCCTGAGGATTTCAAGCTGTCACAGGCTGTGAGCATTTCAAAGCTTAGTATTCATCAGCAGTCTTCACAAAGCTTCAAACTAAAAGTACTAAAGGAGTCACACAGACAAAGAGGGTGAAACAAACCCTGGACATCAGTCCCAGGATGTACTCTGATTTCAGCCCGACAGCCTGCGATGTCAACTACGAGTCCTTATCAGAGGGTTTGAGAGATATCAGGGTTACTAACACTAGTGTATGGAATTAAAACATTTCAGTATTACACAAATATTCAAGTACATGTAAACACAGCTAATGCTGGAGCTTGTTAGCCTATTCCATTTCAGTGTCATCCTTACTAACTGTGTTTATTATAGAGGTGTCACAACCAACAATGGTACAATACAGGCACCAAGTAACAATACACACATACTACACAAACACACACACACACACACTAAATTGCCCATGAGGATGCTTCCTTTCAGCCACTTTAACCAGCAAATGTATTCAGAGAGCAGCCACAGGAGGAGTTCCACTTCAAAAGCCTCAACACACACAAATACACACGTCCATGTACACAAGCATGCATGTGCGCTGACACAAACACACACACACACACACACACACACTCCCACAGCTCCACCTACTCACTGCTGAAGTTGATTACAGCAGGCTGTGACTCAGTGGGAGGGGGGTCATGGATGGATGACTTTGTGTTTTCAGTTGTTGTGACTCCAGAGAACCACAGCAGTACAGTACATTGGAGCCGCACCAAAACTTCTAGAGAATGTATTTTCATTCAACATTATTGAATTTTGACAGCTGATATTACAGTTGCCCAACAACAGCAAAATGGCGATGACAGCGCCTCCGCTAGAACAGGTGTCTGAAAATAAAGGTAGAGAAGTGTGCCTTATGTTTTGAAACTTGTAGGACCCCAGTGCTTGTTTGATCTGTTATTAATCATCATCATCATCTTGTGTCATCTCTAACAGGTGTAGAGCCGCACATAGTAAGGGGAGTGTAGTTCTTAGTAACTAAAAGTTTCCACCTGGTGTATTTTTCCACCTATTAGTGCGGTATGTGTGCAAGATTGTGTGCATGCAGGAAATATCACAATGCAGTTAAAAAAGTCTATTAATGCACTTCTGTAAGCATGAAACACATTATGTGTGTGCGTGTGTGTCTACCCAAAGCTAAATCACTAGCAGTAATTCATCCAATTCATGCTGTTCTTTATGGTTTTGGTTCAATAAAAAATGTATCTGGGCTTCTGACACCACAAACTGAAGACTTTGTTCTATTTACTTCATGAAAGGCTCCAAATTGACACTCTCCTCCTACACCTGAGACTACTGACTCATCTAAACAATCGTAACCCGGTCCACAAACCAGCAATCATTTCATGCACACTCACATTTCCCTTAGATACACTTTTTCGCATCTAATGGGGTCATATGGCAACCATTATCATGCACTGCTGGGTAGACTGCGATGCATCATGGGAAAGGGTATGTGCAATGCGCCCAAGGTCAAATATTGTACTTGAAAATGCTTTCAGCTAGCCTCAACTCAGCCTCAACTAACAACTATTTCCCTGGTCAGAAGGCTCCCGGTAGAGTTCCGTTGGTTCGGTTGGCAATTTAGGAAAGTAATTACTGTAAGCACAACACTGAGAACATCGTTTCTCCACACTTTTTAACACTGCCTGATGTACTGACAAAGAACTGAATAGACGTTTCGAAGAGTGGATACACAAGACAGAAATGAATGGGAGAGGGCAAATGGGGAGAGACAGAGGTAATAAGTTACAATCAATTAGCCAGTGTGCCTATCCTTAGAGACATCTTGATTATCTGTTTTGCTAAGAGAAAGGCTGGCTAAAAACTCTTTACTGTTAAAAAAAGACACACACAAACTCCCATCCATGCATGCAGATGTATGCACATACATACATCATCACTCACACACGGTATACATATTGCCAAGAAAAGACCAGTGAGTGAGTGTGGGAATTCCGGTTTAGTGTGCTAATTTGACTTACAAATTGTAGAGCCTGCTGTCTACTGCAGAGGCAGAGAATTAAATAGTCGTGCTTGAACAAGTGCTTTTTTAAAAGAAAAAAAAAAATATGCACCATATGCACCAGTTCAATGCATACAGCTCTTGAATATAACGTCACATCCATTCTCAGCTCAGAAAAGCTGCTGCTCACTCTTTGTCTTCAGCCCACTCTACCAGAGTAAAGCCCTCTCAGCTGAATATAACATTATTCCACCCACAAAAAGCAAGTAGTTCACACAGGCTTCACTGAGAGCTGCAGAAGGAAATATCGTTTGTGCAGCAGGTGTACAACAACTTGTCTGAATACATCTTCTATGCGAGTTATCAACAGAAGCAAGGTTATGAATCTAGTATGGAGAATATAATCACATCTGGCACACTGCGAGGAGGCTTCACGGCTGAATCACCTGCATGTCAACGACTAAAGTCACTGTTTGCACTAAATGTATGTTTGATGATGAAACAGAATTAAAGATCAAGTAAGAATAGCCTTGAATGTGTCACTAATTGTCTTGACATCTCAAGGCAGTGAAACTTCACCTTGTCTCTCAAATGGTGTTCTGCTGCATCAATGTTCAACGGGTCATCAAAGTTCAACAGGTCCTGGAGCAGAGGAAGAGAGAGACAAGAACACTGAGAAAAAAAAGGTACAAAGATAAAAGGCAAAAACAGTAAAGAAACACGAGGAGTCATCTTATTAGAGAACTTTTCAGGGTTTAATACTTCTGTCTGCGGGTAGAATTTTGTAGCTGCTGAGGAAGTTATTGCCCACTTCAGCACTATTCGCTGTCTGCAATGTCACCCTGGATTCTGCAACTTCGACAAACAAGACAGCATAATTATGCTGTAGCCTTGGAGATGCCATGCACAACATGTGATTAGAGAGATAAAAGGGAGGATGGCCTGAGAGGTTGTTTCCTGATTAAGAGGTAAGATTTAGGGCATGACCATGCATCAGTGCAGATTACCACCACCATTATCATCATAGACGCAGTGCTGACCTCGGGGTAAGTGTGGATGCATTCAAAATGTAATCGATGATGGATTTATGCAAGCTTGCAATAAGCAATGCTTTGGACTAAACTAAATAATCTGATTACTTTCAGCTGCTTACTTGCAGCTTGCTTTGACATCCAAAATGTTTAAATAATCTATTGAAAAACTATTTTAAAAATTATTTTGATATTTAAAAGGATGCTTTCATCTTTTTTTTTTAGCCTATTTGAATATTCTTTTGAACGTTTAATTTTCTGTCATTTTAATTTGTAATGAATTACTGTCGAACTATGAGTATACTTTCAAGACACGGCACAAGGGGACGTCTGGAAGCAGCTGTGGATGCATTTCCACCAGCAAAATGTGTAATCATATATATTCTTGTTTTTATTTTCATATCATTTCTGTGTTCTTCATAAGGAGAAAGATTATTCGCCATGATTAAAAACTGGTTGTTTCACAGCTGTTAAGAGAGATACACACTGGCCTTGGTTACTCTGATCTGAGATTGGACAAATGGCATTGGCGAAACCTACATACAGTAAGCAATTTAAAAAATTTTATTTAATTTTATTTGCTTCGAGGGAACCAACGTTCAGTTAAGAACTTTGATTCAGTTCAATCATTTCTGTTAAAGGAGGGAAACAAAACAACTGATTTTAGGGACAACTGTGTACAAACATACGTTTAGCATGAATGTTATGTACTCGTCATTTACTCTGTCACCGTATTGACAAATCAAAATATATTTTAAAAAATATATAATCTACTTTAGTTTCTAACAACATATCCAAGTTGATTAGGTAAAAACAAATAAAACTTACAGTAAACAAGGAGTTCAATCCCCAGACCACATCCTAGAAAAAAACAAATGAAAACAAATTAATGATCAAATAGTCAAATGGTATCACAGTTTGAATATAAATTAAAACATACACTCGTGTTACAAGTGAAATAAATTCTGTTTAGTCTCATCATTCGTAACCAATGTTTTTGGATTCATGTGCAGTTTTACAATATGTAAACTTCTGGATGTTGTTATAACTTAGCAGCTGTATATTCAAATGCTGGTCATGAGGAAAAAATTCACTAACATCACACCACAGCTACAATATAAAATGAATGCAATCGCAATCATCATCAATTTACTATAATACTATATATTTATATGTCCACCTAATTAAGCTTGATTGTCGCAAAGCAAATTAATTAAATGCAAGCTCTCAGTGGCAGCTACTCTTCTATGTACCACAAGCATAAAGTCTCAATGAAACCATATACAGACAAGTAAAGTAAGTATAGTAACCACCATATACAGTAAACATTTCCCTCTGCAATTCCCCTTGAGACAAAGTAGTAGCACGGCAGTACAACAAAAGATGCAAGTCCAAAATCCCCAAATCCCTGAACTCTTTAATGGACATGCAGGGTATGACTAGAGTAGGTTTGGCAGTAGCTAGAGACTGCACAGTTCTGTGTGTGGAAAAAGACAGACAGCATCGTAATTGCATTTCATCACTATAGCTTTCGACTTTCATTATCCCACTCTTTCTGCTTACAGGAACAGTCAAGTGAAATCCAACTGAGAACAGCAGAGACACAGTGACAGTATAACAATGGAAGACATCACACAAGACCAACTAAAAAAGGGAAGCTTTATGTCACTGGGTGCTGCTGCTTTCAGGGCTTCCTTTCAATTATCTTCCGCTCATTCCACACACACACACACACATATATTTATCCCATTTAAATAATGAAACAGAGCTTTGAACCTTGAATATTTAAATAAACAAGCAACTATTGGACGATTGTTTTTTTTCTGTCAAAAAAAAAAAATCTTGAAGAGAACTGCAGCCTGAACTGACTACAAAGAACAAGTTATTGTTTTTTCTCCATCGTCGTCTCCTCTGTATCATGGTACACACTAACAGGTTTACCAGACCCAGTAACTGTACATCATTGTGTTATTTTATTCTTGGTCAGCTAAAGCCAAACTATTACCAGCTATTATTACAGCTAGCCTTTATATGGCTAAAGGTGGCACGGTAAACTCTTTTCCAAACTTAATTTGGTTTATTTCACAGGATGTCAGATTAAGTGCTGGTATATTCACTGCAGTTTGTGAGTTTGCTGTTAGCATATGATCGCAATATTTAAAATGGTGACATTCAAAACAAAGACAACACAAACCCTGATTGCACTAAACATTGAAAAAAGTATGTAAAACTGGCCTAAAGCAATAATAATAAAAAAGGAGATGTTTGTTTCCTAGATCCCCCAGTCATTAAAAGACCTCCCATCCATCAGTCATGTACAAACAGTAGTCTAACTCATTAAATATTTTGTTTGTGTTTACTGGAGTACATAATAACAATGTGTCCCAAATCCACACAACACACTTATTTTATTCACTATGTATTACTAATCATCAAAGCACACTGCTCCTCCATTTTCTTGGTTCATTGGGGGAGAAAAATTTACATAAACTCAAAAATCGGCCGTATTTGGATTGCTTACTATCTGGTTTGAGCATACTTTATGCACTTTTCCACCCTACATACTAAAAATCTGCTGAGAATCAGTATGTTGTGCGGATTTGCGACACAGGAACTGTGTCATTTATTTCTCTGCAGGAGTGTTTTCAGATAGTGTGGCCAGCAATGGATATTGTGAATCAGTGGCTGTGGCTCCTGGCTACTTCTGATTTTTGGAGCCTAGAGAGCAAATTGTACCTTAAAAATAAAGAAATGGTTATGACATGATTATTTACAAATTAAAATCAGAAACATTTTTTATTGTCCCAGACCGGATAATCAGAATTTAAAGCAGCTCCAATTCCCATTTCTCTTCAAGGATCTGTCTGTTCCTTTGGAAACAGTTGTATAATTAAGGAAACTCAGGTATCTGTAGCTCTGGTATTGTTGTAGTTTCTATAGTTGCCATGGTCACACGGTAAGGTGCATTGTGAAGTTGAAAAAGCTAAACTTAAGATAAACTTTGGATGCTGTGGCACTGCTGTGTGCGTTCACAGGAACAGCTGGTGCCCTCCTTCTCCTTGCCGTTGCCATCAACCTCAGGGGTACGGCTGCTGTTGCGTCTACAGTGTAAACAATTGAGGAAGCGACAGTGGCAACAGCTTGCTGTCTGAAAGCACCTTAATAGCTGAGGCGCATACTATATAAGTGCAGCATCCTTGATTCGATTACAGCTGAAGTCCCCTGTTGCAAACCCACCACACAGTGCTTCGCAAATTTACATTGTGCTGAATTTACAATATAAGCCATTATTGAATAATAAGAAAAAGTTTTTTATTTATTTATTTTATGTGACATTGTGTGCGTGTGTGTGTGTGGGCTGAAGTGGAGAAGAGTGGTGACCAGTGAAGAGGGACATCATCACCCACTCAAAAACTAACACAATCCTTTCTGACTCACAGCTTTTGCACTTGCTTTTTCTCACATATTTTTGTGCACTCAGTGACACTCACATGAATCCGAAGCCCAACCACGCTCAGACATATGACCACGTCCACATCTATATTTAACAATGATATACTGCATTTCGACTGGGACCAGGGACACATACATCCACAAGCTATCAGACACAGAACAGGGACAGAAATGGATGGTCATGAAAAAACTGAAATCCAACCAACACATCTGTAAGTAGAGATCTATCCATTCCCTTTAGAGGTGAACTGGATAAGGAAAATAATGTCAGCCTATGTCTGATCATTTCAAGCCATTGCTTCCTTTCATAGTTATTGTGTAGCGACCACTAATCAGATTTTTCAGACACATTGCCACAAAAAGCTGCAAAAATCTGAAAAACTACTGTACATTAGTTATGATCTGTTTGAATTATTTTAACCTATTGGCTTCGTGCCTGAACATCTGTTCAAGGTGCAGAACTGCTCTGTTGCAGTGTAAAATTACTAACAGATGTTTTTGTTATGTTTATTTATTTGTAAGAGACAGTAAGTACAGAAAAATCATTGACAGTTGCAGAAGAAGTGTCCGATATATAAACATAGTCTAAGCTCATTTCGAACACACCGATGAAGTTAAAATGTACCCAGAATTGTGTGCTGTTAAAGATGGTAACTTCCAGTCACAAATATGCATTGTAAATGATTTAAAATCAACTATGAAGGTGGGCAAGTCCAAAGCGTGCTAAGGTTTTCTTTTATAGGCACTGAAGCTCCAGACGTAGCCCCATTTCTGGAAGCCTCACCCTGCTAGCTGTTGACTTTTATCTCAATTTTACAGTGAGCAGATACAGCAGCTTTAATTCATGTATCTGTATAGTGAAAGATTGCACAAATGCATTCAGAGCAATTACATAACAGCTACAATGCCAGAGAGTATGTTTTTTTAAGCCTGACTATGTGCTCAATAGTTAATACTGCTACTATGAACACAAACACACACAAAGATAAGCACCCATGCTGCATGCAAAGCTGATTTTCCTTGCAACTTAGCATCAAGGCCAAGGAAGAAAAGTATTCAAAACAACAAGAATACACAACTGAGACTGGAGACACAGGTACATAAAGACAAGGTGTTCGTGTTTGTTTCAGAGCAAGCTATTGATCATGAATGACGTTTTAGGATTCATTTTAAAACAATGAACATGCTGATACATGACAAGATACAGACTCGGGTGGCCGCTGTGCTGGAGAAGCTCCACTGGTGGATCAAAGTAAGAGAGAGGAAATACTAGAAAAGGGTAGCAGTATGTGATGAAAGGAAAATGATTATTCGAGAATGTGTATAGGCACACAGTACTGTCACCCATGAAAGTAATCAGGAGAACGAAAATGAAATACAAGGTTGTGCGTCTGTTTACTGTATGTACACTGTATGTATGTTTGTATCCCACTGTCATTGGACAGCTAATGAAATGGCATCTATAAGCCTGTCACAACCCACCACTACACTGGCTGCATATGACGTATAAATGGCAGGGGGGAAAAAAAGATAGATTGCAGACATACAGTACTGTACAGCAGAATGAAATAACAAAAGACTTCTATGTGAATACGATATGATATATGAACAGAGGTGATTTATCATTTTGCCTTGTGTAGTTTGCTATTAGTCTTGGCAGTACATAGTGGAAATGTCTTTGGAAGTTTCATAGTGGAAATGTCTTTGGAAGTTTCATAGTGGAAATCAATATCTATATGTGTGGTTTTCAACTCAATAGAAAGAAGGTCTATCTTGAGTGTATGTGTTATTTTCATATCATCAATTTCCTCAATTTACAACCACATTTTCATCACAATAGTACCTTTCACAGTGAACCACGTAAGTGTGTTTTGGCTGTGATGCAAAACATGTGGTTATTCGCATAAGCAAAGTATTTTTCCACGAGTGGACAGCCAACCACACAAACTTTCACAACATTGTTCATTTTGTGTTTTTCTTAAAGGCATACCGATCCTTAGCCTCTTGTGGTCTGAATGACTGGTTTGAAAGTTGATTTTAGCCGGTTCAGCAGGGGTTGAAGCAATCTAACTATCATCTATAAAGAAACGGGTCAAGTTTTCTGCTGTGGACAGACAATGCTGACCTGGATATACTTTAACCAAGGCATTAGATACTGATACAGCTTTTAATCCAGCACATTATATATGCTATAATGTTGAGCTGGAAAGTTATGTGCAAAGTGTCTTTCAGACCACAAAGTGACGTTCGCTCGTCAATGCAAAATACATGAGGCAAGAAGCTTGGTGACTACTCGCAGAACTACTATAGCTGGCAAGATTACAGTAAACTCACATTTCCCACATCTTCTTAAACATCAATTTTAGGGACTTTTAAAGCAAATTTAAGGACCAAACACAGCATAGTTTGAGACACTGAGTCAAGGTTATTTACTGTTACAACAGAGAATTTATATAATAACAAGCAAGCTTTACAGAAGCTCACAGACAATTAAAAAGGGAGAGAGGCTTGAATGAATGCTTTTCAATTGTGCTGTTGTTGCAGACTATGGTCTCCTGCCTTTAGTAACACAGCAAAGAAGCCTATTTACTAACGTTAAGTAAAACAACTTCTATTCTTGCACAAAATATATGAATTAAAGCACTTTGAATGACCCACGTCTATCCAAATGTTTTCAAGGTCTTCCCTCAAATTCACAAACAAACAACAACAAACAAACAAACAAGGACTTCAGGGACTGGAGAATCATGGCTTGTGCTAGTCTGTCACAATAGCCTCCGGAGATTCTATTCAATTTATTCTGTACTGTTCACCTTGCATCTCCCTAACATTTTATTTACCATTGCACACTATTTATTTCAATTAAAAAACCCATCATTGTACATACCAATTATGAAGAAAGAAACGGATATATTTGCATATATATAAATAATCTACCAGGCAAATCTGTCTTATTAACCTATTCAAACTATATCACATTTGACATACCGGTATGTATTTATTGCTGGATTTTTTTATGTGATGTTTTGTGTTGGCTAAATAGTATGGCTGAGTGAGTTCAAAATCCAGTTACAGAAATGTAGTATGGGAAAAAAAAATAACGTGAAATAAAGGTTTCATTTGCAGTGTCTGCACATGCTACCACTATGACATTGAGAATGCAATCACATTGGAGAATGTACTTCAAGAAATAGACAAAGGACAAAGTAATTAGTTTTTGAGCTATGTTTTTCAGGCAAAGACTTCATCACATCAAGCACAGCGTAACATAATGTGTTCAGTGATGTGGGGACGCTAAACCTGTCATGATGACATTGCAATAAAACACACATTATGTAGCTAGACAATTTTCAATTATGCAAAATATATTTTTCACCCTGTATAAGAAAAAAATAACAGAATATGGGTTCTTTTGAAAGCAGGGAAAGCAGAACCCCAAGTATGCTAATGTGAGCAGACAACACCAGAAATAAGGCAAAAAGAGAGGGATGACCTGGAATGACAGAAACTTTTAAAACCTAAAATATAGGAAGAGAACCCTTAAGGATGAGACAAATCCTGACAATAATTTCAAGAGCTGTCTTGGCAGGAAGCTCAAGAGGTACCAAGAGGATTTACTAGATGACCCTCTAAACTTGTCAAACTTGTAATAGAGGTAGGAGGGCCATCCAATGCCTCTAAAAAATCCCTGTTACTCTACTGCAACTGCACACGTTTACATATTTCCATAATTAGAAGTGTATCCTGATTCAGAGGTATTTTGATCTAGCATTTTGCCCCTGCAGAGAATCACAGATATGTGTCTAATTTAACCAAAATTTAACATGGAAGCCAGAGCTTCACTACACAAATACATTCAGTCCCACACCGTACTATCAAACATATTTTTAGTCAAATCTTGAGCAAGGATGACAGAGGGTGTCCTTGCTTTAAACTTTGGTGACGGTTTCTAAACTGCTTGCAAAAAGTGCTCAATTGAGTGAAGGGTAAAGCATATGAAGTCAAAGCTCGCTTTAATATGCAGCTGAAAAGCCTTTCATTGTGAAGTTTACCTTCACATGGCTCCACAAAAGACTTTTCATGGTGTCCTGCGAGGATTCTGCAGTGTTTTCAGCAGTATTTCTTGCACCCCCATTTTGTCAGTTTAAGAGCTAAAGTGAAAAGGTGGCTGATCATAGAAAAGGTCAAGGATTGTCCCACTCAGGTATTTTGTGTTCTAAATTACCAACTGTATGGAAACCTAGGTTTTACAGTATCCATCTATCCAATAGCTGTCAACTCCTTCAAGATTTTAACACAATGCAGGCATCGTTAGAAGATTCTAATTTGGGCTCACATGTTTCTGCCAGATTTAAGGGTGCTTTAGGACCCTACATAGACAAAGACTCCACTGTGGTCTCTCTTTATTTGACCAACAAATGTGACATTTCTAAATAAACTTTCTTTATAAGTCTGCAACTTCATAGCTTCAGTACTTCTGATTATGAGCACTTTGCTAAACTGCTAGATTTCTTAATCAATTCTCTGACATTAACCCTACAAATAAAATGAATATAGGATTATTATGCTGCTTAAATTGTATAACAAAAAAAAAAACCATAAGAAGCATGTGATGATACACATAATCTCCACTATACTACTTCTTCATCATCACAAATAAAAGAATACTTCAGACATGTGATTGTTGCAAGCCAGCACAAACCACATAAATTAATGTGTCCTTGAATTGGTTGTGCTTTATTGAACTTCTGTGTTGGTTTGGTTGTATGTGTCTTTGCTAACATTTTCCATGAAATGTTACAAAGGTCTATTCTGCTACAGAATAGTTGTAGATGCTGCAAAAACAATTCTTAACTTTACTGTGAAACTAAACATTGCTGAAACACAGACTGCTATCACATGTAAATTTGATTTAAAATGATCATGTGAAGAGCCAATTCCTTATTATTGCTTAAAGCAAACAGATGAATACATACTATACTTACTTTCCTGTTCTAGAAAAAAACACTCCTGCAAAAAATAGATAAATCTTGCAAAGTCAGAGATCTCATATATGGTAACATTTTCTTTAATGAAGGCACATTCTCTTGAATAAATGCAATTTATTTACCTTTAATGTTCTGGTGGGTGCCCAGCCTGTGCCATCAATAGAGTGCTCCCGCAATAGGCTGCATTCAATTGAAAAGAAAAGAAACACACAGTCATTTACAATACTTCCAGGTTATTGAAGACGCTTTGTGGCAGATCGTAATTGTATGTTGTTCTGATATGTACTGTGAACTCTGTAGTGTTGTGACCCTCATGTAACGCCAAAAGGTTATATGTTCCAAGACCATGGTATATAAAATCTTAAACAAATCTGTCACATTTTTGAGAATGTGACTGGCTACACTGTAACTGTTAACAACCATTAAATTCCAGGTAATGTGTTTGAGAATGGATGATGATGGGGTAGGCAGGATTACCTCAAACAGATCTCTCCAGTTTCTGTGATGTTAGGATGCCATATTCTGGTCAAACATCTCACTTTAGGAGGCTGGAAATTAACATGGAGAGAATAGGCAGAATGGGAAGAGAGGGACACATCTTTATTTATGTAATCATTGAATTTAATTTGAAACAAACTTTTAATAACCAGAGATTCACCTTGTCAGCACAACATAAAGTTCACGTTTTCAACATTATGTAATATCTATTATGCAGTGATGTGTAAAGACATTTTGCTTCCACTCTAAAAAATATATAATCACCACTTAAATGGTTTAAGTTTTTGTATGTTACTTGTTGAAACAGCCCTTTTTAAAGTAACAAAACCATTAACAATCATCAGATGATCTTTGATGACTCAACTTTCTCTGCAGATAATTTGTAAAATGCTCTCCAAACCAATTAATTGGCATTTTGAATTATTTGATAATGCAATTCAAACATATCTTTATTCAGTAATGACACATGATGCATACACAACTAGAAGAAAGAAGAAAATGCAAGCCCAAGAAAACAAACTATATCATTTGCTTCTTGTTTTGTGTATTTTCTAATTTTGCTTCTTTTTGTGAGATACTTCAGCAGTAAATAGTCAAATAGACCAGCCTTAAAAACTCCACAGTTGTTGGTCAACGTGGACGCTTTTGTGCCTACTGTGTCTGGCTGCGTATGCTCCATATCCCACTGTTTTGGGCATTTAATTTAGTTCTACTTCGACATTGATCAGATTTGTGAACAGGGCTTCTTTTAAAGCCATTGAAAGATGTTTTACACATGTACTTGTAAACATGTACTTGTAATTGACTTTTTACAAATCTGAATAGACACTCATCCTTGACTGGTTCCCCTCATTAACAATTACTAAAGTATGCAATGTTTGAACTGCTCTGGTTGCTCTAGCCTCATTTATTGCAACAGACAAATGACAGGGTGTTCTTATTATCCAGCTAATGTGGTATTGAGCTGTGTGTGTGTTTTGGTGAGAGTTTGTAGGATGCAATGGGGATGGTTTGAAAGACAAGACCAAGATGACTGTCATTTTTTCTGACTAGTAAACATTACACAGGCTGTTGTAAAATTACTACAATCATGTAAACATGTAGTTTACAGTTCTCTTACTGTAGTTACATGGACGCTGCAGCAGGGATGAACAAAAGTGAGGAGCATGTAAGTAATAATAAGAGATCTCAAGAAAAGCAAGGAAAGGGTTGAACTGGTTGAGCTCAAACACCAATGCCTTTTTACTGAAATGTACAATTTTCCTTTTGTTAAATTGTTTAATGCTCAATCTTGAATTCAACTTGTTTGAAACCCTCCTGCAGTAATACCTACTTGGACCATAAGGCGTGAGTACAGTATATCAGTATATGAGTATCACATATATACAGTTGAGCCTTCCTCACTGGGCTACAAAGCTAGGTCCCTTTTACAATGAATGATGAATCATATCCCAGTCCCACCTTTTGAGTCTATATGTGTGAAAGGCAAATCTACTTAGTAGTTGGTAATACTTAACCACCCACAAAAACCCCAGCTCCTTCCCTACTAGTAAGTTAAAGAGGCCTCCGCCATCACCAACCATGAGGCCCCAAATTCTGGCTAAATCTCTGTATAGCACTGCAACATACTGCATCGTATGACCACATTTGAAATCATATAGTTGATGTCTATGAACTTAATAATGTTTTCCTGCTTCCTCTCAAACATTTGTAGAAACATTAGAACATATTTGATGAACTCAGATTTTTGAGCATATTTTAAGCGGGTAGTAATTTTAACTGTGCAAATATTTTCACTAATTTTTATTTATTCCAATTCCATTTCCAGATGTATTAATTACAGCCCAAAATACCTGTTCAGTTAGTCCACCATCAATTAAGGCCCCCTGCAAATGGATACCTGTTGTTTTTTTAGGTGTATATAATGTCATAATGGATTTAACGTGACTTTATCAGAGGAAATATACTGATTAGAAACTCTTTTGAAACATTACCTTCCTATCTGGTCACACTCCTCTTCCCCAATACCCATAACAGGAATAGTTCTCTACTCTCTAGGTCCACCTACAAGAATTGATTGACGTTTCATGATTTAATGTTTATTTATCATTCTGTAGCAGGCATCATAAACCTGCCACAGATGGCTGCATGTAGAGAGAAGTGTGTGTGTGTATGTGTGTGTGTGTAAACGTGTCATAAAGATTCAGACAAAAGATGAACATACAAAGCATACATACGTGTGTAGAGACACATACAAACACAAACAAAACACATAGATTCACACACAAAAACACACACTGACATGGTGAGATAAAGCCTGTGTAGCAAGGACAGACAAAACAAGAGAAGTGAGTAGAGTAACTTCAACTCATGAAGGTCGGGTGAAAAATACAGTGTTACGCAAACAGAAACAAAAATCTACCTCGTACCTCGATATTCCTATAGGAATATTAATTGAAGGAAATTCAATAGTGGTTCCACCATGCACACATTTTTAGTTTGTGAAAGGGCAGCAGTAGTTTTGGTCTAGAGACTGCTTCATACACAAAACAACAGGCCAGAGCAGAACAAACCACAATCCGACAGCAAATCTGGAAGGGTCATTATTTTAACAGGCCAAAATAGGAAGCTACCAACTAATGCTGACAACACAAATACACATGTAGGCACACAAACGCACACAAGTAGACACACAAATGAACCAAACAATGAGACATAACAGGACCACTCACCACCATGTTATAGGCTTCGGGGACATCTATTTCAAACTGAAACCTTCCACTTTGGTAGTAACCCTCATCTGGAAGCACATAGAGAGAAAAAAAGACATGGGACAGTGGTCTTAAACAATATATACACTAAGATATGGGTTTCATGACATCAATTTACAATTTCTTGTGGAAAGAGGGCCTTCTAGTATCACCATAGACTGCTGATCAGGGTTTTTCAAGACATTCTGGATTAAGTATCATGCAGGCAGTGATCAAAAGTAATCAATTTTAACTGGAAAAATAGTAAAAGGAGCAGATTAGTGGATTAATAGATGAATAGATCTTCACTTGAATTTCTTGTTCCCCTACTTCCAGAAATACTGCAGTTTAGAGTACACAAGTTCCTCTTGCAATGAGGATAGTTCAGCAAGTGCATCTGTTAACAGCAAAGTATCATATTTTCTTCTATGAAAAATAAAAACTAAAGATAATGAGTCCTAGGTATAGGTATAACACTTAGAGGCTAATGTCATGTTGCCAGAAGTATCGGTGACGAGATGTGATACATGAAGTCCTGTTTAGATATAAATAATCCATCTCCACAATTGCAAGATAAACACTAAAACTCTTTCTTTTACTTACAGTACACACACACATATTCATTACACCACATTCATTGGGAGCATACGAATGTAGAGAGGGCTATGTAAGGTCATGCATATGCATACATCACAAATGAAATATTCTTAGTTAATTGGGTGACATTTGTTTGACTAAAGGTAAGAAGATAACAGGTAAGACATGGCAAGCGATATGAGGCAGTTTTCTGTAGTTGTTAGTTACATTTTCAATTCCACTTTTGCAGAGAATCGGAAATCTGCATTGTTTAGCACAATTTATAACCCACCTCAGAATTAAAAAAGGAATATGTAATTTTATAAATTAAAAAATAAGAAAGTATTGATTTTTGTCTGAGAAATAAATCTTTTTCAGTGATAATTTGTCTTCTAACTTATTTAGTTGAAAAAAAATGCAAGATAATCCTCCTGTGAACCCAGTATTGTATCAAACTGTATCAAAGCTGTCCAATCACACATACACACACAGACAACACACACACACACACACACACACACCACACACACACACGACAACACACACAGCACACACCACACACACACACACACACAGTCCCTACACCTTTCTCTCTGCCTGTCGCACCCCACATGTTGCCTTTAAAGCCAATTAAAGGCTTTTTTCAGGACATCTGCACAGGACCTGTTTAAAAGGGGTCTTTAATTAGTTCGTTAAAATTTGCATTTTTGCTGTGATCTTATGGTACTTCCAAGGATCAGAGAAGGGGAAGGTGGAGAAGAAAGTCAGGTCTGGACAGAAAGAAATAACTCCCTATGGAGCTCACACCTTGTTAGGATGCACTCAGGTGAACTGATACTCTTGGCAACTTCTGACTGAACTCCAGATAGTTAGCGAGAGCTAGAGAGGAAGGGAAAGCACTTGGCTGGTAATAAGCCATGTAATGAACCAACTGTGTGTGCGTGTGAACATGTGTATGTGCTTGACTGACTGAGCAGCCAGTACCCAGATTTGCACATTTTGTCTAAAAATACTTTGCTCAGAAGTTGAACATGGACCACATACTAACACACACTACCACTGTACATTCTGAACAATCTCATTTACATATATGATGAAGCAAAAATGTTATTAACACCTACAATACAGTATAATGCAATACAAAGTTATTTCCATACTGCTCTGACACAGTATCAAAATAGCTAAAAATATCGATGACACTGAAAAATTCAGAGGTGAAGGATTTTGTATGTATACACAAAACTGGCATGAAGGCAAGCCGATTTTCGCACTCTCACTCCCCCCTCCTCTCTGTGTACTCAAAACACTAAGCAATTTGAGATAAGGCCTTTGTCAAAGGGCTATCTAAACCTCACCCGGTTCCATTCGCTGCAACAAAAGCAGAGGTACAATTTAATTAGACCACACAAACAGTCTCCCCTATATTATAAATGAGGAGAGACAGAGGGAGAGGAACGTTGTGTGAAGTTGAGGGATACAGCTTGAACAAGTGTCAAAAGAAAGAGGATGAGAGAAAGAAACAGCTTGGGCATCAAAACCAAGGGATGGATGGATACAAAAGGGACGAGAGAATAAAAAAAGGGAAAAAAAAGCAAAAAGAACACTTAAAGAGGGAGAGACAGAGAGCATCTACTGACTAACAACCGCAGTCAGAAGTCATAAATAATTCATGAGCGTCTTCAGTACAATGGAACAATCAGTCTTTACTGTCACACGACACTGTGCTTGCACACATACACAGCGACACACACAACCTAACAACTACGGTCCAAATCTTTTGGATAATAATAACTCTCATAAGTTGTTGGTCATAATGTTCAAATGACGGAGACACCCTGGTTAGTTAGTTGGTCAGTGGAAGGTAATCCACAGATTTGTCCAAAAATACACCTGTGATAACTACAGTTCATGTCCCGATGTAATAAGGAAAGTCCCCACAGGCATATGCTCCTGTGTATCAAGTTACCATGGTTACCAACTGATTTAGCATGATTATATAGTTTGCTTAGGCAGATAGTATAAAAGATTGCTTCGTTGACAGCTTCCATGTTCAATAGATGGATTTCTTACCTGGGCACCCTGATGGTCATACTGTTATGTAGCCCCATACACAACAAACTGTGATGCACTGTGTGTACGATGCACATTCTATCTGAACCAGCATTCACTTCTTCAGCAGTTTGGGCTACAGTAGCTCGTCTGTTGGATCGGACCACACGGGCCAGCCTTCACTCCCCACGTGCATCACTTTTCCTGCTTCTAACACTTCAACTTTGAGGATAAAATGTTCACTTGCTCACTGACAGGTGCCATGATAACCAGATAATCAGTGTTATTCACTTCACATGTCAGTGGTCATAATGTTATGGTCAATTGGTGTAAGTATATATAGGTCTGCTTTGCTTTTACACCATAAAGAAACTTCACCAGAGTTCAAGTGAAAGCTGATCGAGACCAAAGAGGTTTACTACCTGGACTGCAGCAAAGAAAAAATCCTGTCAGGAAAAATTTGGCCACAATACCCAGATTAATTATCCTAATTGTGATTTTCCCTGTAGGAAGCGACAGTGAAGCAGAGTGACAAGTACGGCGCATGATTGGTGTTGATAGATCATTAACGTTTCTGACAGAGCTCTGAAAGACACGTCTATAACAGCCAGCACAATAGAAAGAGACAGTGTATCTGAAAAACCCAGTATTTCCCAGTATGACAAACGTCCCTCTCTTCTTTTTTTCTTTGGATTAGGCATACGGTTTGTTGTTAATGTTCCTTTTGACAGTTATTTTTTAAGTCCAATAGTGAACAAATATTCCATAAATTTCTTCTTTAGTTCAGTTAAATAAAGTGCACAGAGAAAAACACTTTCTCCAGCTGCTCCCAGGTCTTTAACAATGTTCAGTAAATAATTACGCATGAACATTTATTTTATTTTCTGTTAAAATGCATTTATTTAGGTGAAAATATTTAAGATTATAAATTTAATGTAATCATTAGACAAAGATCAATGTAAAGGCTCATTCCCTAGTCTCCCTCATCTCATCATTGACATCAATCTTTAACATGTCACAGGAAATGTACAGACCAAATACATGGAGAATATAATATTGATAATATCTCCAATTATATTATATTGTATAAATGTAATATAACATTACAAGTTATTTCAGTTGTTTGAAAATAAAGCCCAACCCTAACCCAATAGGAAGCTCTGCAATACAAATTATAGTGAACAGGGCTGCTGTGATACGAAACACTGTTTACCCATACATCTGCACTGTGACATGTGCATGAAGCTACACATGCACACACACTACTGTGCAGAGATGAACTTCAGATGACCGTGTAGCCTCTGTAACCACTTCTTGGCTGTCCACCAAAAAAAAAAAAAAAAAAGACAGTTGTTTACCCCAAAGCAGCTCTCACTGTTGTTGTTAGCTTAATTCTTTGTTCACTCTGTTTATCAGTGTAATAGCTTCAGGAAAAGCACCAGCAAGCTCCAATATTGGCATAATATCTGAAACCCAAATTTGTAGGGTGTTTAACCCATCCAGTACACTATGTCGGCCAAGCGAATATTTGGCCAGCCAAAATTCAAATGATACTGGCTCAGCTCCACAAAAGCACATTTACAAGTAAACCACTAACAAGTAAGTGTTCTTAATTTTTTGTGCATCTGAGACAAACCGAGCAACACAAATCTCCAGATCTTCTTCGTCATATCCAAGCACAGACATGAGTCACATTGACAACCTGTGGAATAGCTGTTAACAGAAGATTGAACTTTACCTCTTCTGAGTAAAAGTGCAAAAACTAATCTAAGGTGTTCGATTCATTCAAAAGGACAGCAAGATATGACTGCTGCAGAGTGTTCTTACACAAAGTACAAGTACTGACAGATTTGAAGACCTATCATTATTTTGCCAATAAGGGGTTATCTTGTGTTGAAAAGGTTTTTTCACATTTTTGCCATAAATGTACTTTTTAAATGTACTTTTTCTGTCCCTACAGAGTTTTGCTCATACACACAAAGTTTGCAGGTTTCTGCAGCAATGTGCACAACTTCTAATAATCCAAACATTCACATGTGAGAACGTGTTCACCCCGGAGTGTTGCTGCTGTCCCCATTCCTCAAAGACACAGGGATCTGGGGCTACAAGGTCACAGCACAGAGCTATTGCATGGGAAAAGGAAACTAAACAAACTGATTAACTAAAGAGACATTCAACTGAGCTGAGCTTGAAAAAGATCACTTATTTCTCAGTTTTCAGTTTGTTTCTTGTTTGTTTGTTTCAAAATGAATGGAACAAATTAATGAATAATACATTGTGATACAACATTCAGATGTAATGTACAGTTTAATTATAACAAATAAAACAATATGAAAGAATCTGCTTGCCTTGCTTTAATTAGATCTGGGAGCACAATCTAACACGAAAAGCATGTCTGTTGTGTGTGTGTGTGTGCGTGCGCGCATATTCATGTCTTCTTGATTAGGTTTCTTTTTGTTTCTTTGTTCTTTGAGTAAGGTGATCTGAGTAAGATAGTCTCTCACAAAAAAAAGGTATTAACAAAAGCAGCTTGGAGGAATATTGCACCTCAACCCTCCAGTAAAGCACTGTGTTGTTGTTGATGAGACATAATGACCGTGAGAACCACAAGTGGATTTAAGTTAATATATCTGACTAGAATACATCTTTGTCTCTTTGATTTGAAGTTTGGGATTTTTTATACTATTGTTGCTCTGTAAAACATTTCCATATGTATACAAAATGCTTAATTAGCACAGGACTAAGTGAAATCACTGAATGCAAATCAAGGATATCACAACAGTTTAAATATATATGGGATTAAGGCGGATTTATTTTGTTTTTTGTATGTAAAGCAGTGTGTTTTATAGCTGGACCCATTAACTTGGGTCTTAGGTTTTTTTGGGCCAACAGCAGTTAATCAAACGTTTAAATTACAGTACTACCTGCAGCATGAGTAAACCAGGCTACTGTCTCAATAGATGTAAAAGATAAGAAAAACAGAAAATAACACAAAAGGAGAAGGGAAAAGAAGAAAAGGAAACACTTACATAAGCCTTGAGCTATAAAGTCTCCTCATAGCAAGTCGAGATGATTTTTACCTTACACTGGTTTGGATATAAGAGACATTGGACAACCTGCATCCTGAGGCAAGTTCCCTTTTGCATTTTTTTTACTTTCCTGTCTGACCACTATTACCTTCCCTGCAGCACAAATTAAAGCTGCTGTGTGTAAAATGTCTAACTAATATGCTGCAATTCCCAAATGAAATATGACTAAAAGTGATAAACTGAGACAGCTGTGTTAAAACGGCAGCTTCTGAGAATTGAGAACAGACATCAGCTGACTAGCTTTCGGTGGAGGGGACACAGAGAGAACAGGCAAGAAGAGAAGAACGAAAAAGACATTAATAAACAAGGGGAGAAACAGAACCACTAATAGCGAAAAGAGCAAGTGAAAGGAAGTGAAAAGGGGGTATGAACGTGTGAGTGTGCCTTGTGTGTATGTCTGGAGAGACAGAGGTCTTAAATAATTGAGCAAGTCTTTCTCTGAGAACTCAATCTCCTTACCAACTCCTCTTGAAGAACATGACACCAAACCTCGTCTCTAATTGCTGATCTTTGCTTTTCTCCGCAGATTTTGCTTACAAAGGCCTTTGAGAAAACTAAGCTGGCATTACAGTGCCGACTCGGGTGGCAGGAAGACGGATGAATCACAGACACGCACATACATACACATGCGCTTGCACGGGCTCACGCATGCACAAGACCTCAGACGGGGCCTTGAAATATCCTATTAGTTGACAAAAATTGATGCAGGGACTTCCTCGCGTAACAAATACACCGGACAAAATTAGAGACACTTCTCAAATGTAGATGTTAATGCCAAAATACATTCTGTTCTAAAAGAGAGAATTATAAGATAAATGAGGAGCAAATCTCTGTAATATTTTTATAAGGAGTATGGTCTACACCTGCTCTATATCTAACTTATAAAGAGTTAGAAAGAGAAAAAGAAGACAAATATATATACATATTTATATATAATAAAATAGCCAGATTGTTCATTTTAAGAATCTTTGCTTAAACTCTGATTGGACATACTGTCTGTAGTTGTGCACGCTTTTTTCTGTGCAACAGGATCAATTTTTTCGCTTTTACCTCCAAATAAAGTTGATTAAATAATCTGTTGTCTTGTTTACATCCTATTTAATCACTGACTTCATTGTAGCAATGTGCCAAATTGTGTTCAATGTTGTCATAACTGATAGAAACTGGGAGAAAATAAGACCCAAATTGTAATAAACCAAAATGATCCTTCAAGAAAATAGAACAAAATTATGCAGAATTGCTAATTTGGCTAATTCTGGATAATTTTGTTCTATTTTCTGCATAATGTGTAAGGTGTCTGAATTTGAATCTGCTTTTGTCTAACAGTGTTAACCACCAGATACTTTGTTTGTCCCTCTTATTACTCAAGCACATACAAACACAAAGCTATGTCTTCACTTTCTGTAAGTCTCTGGCTTTTGTTCTCCTAGCTGTGTATCCTGCAAATAAGAGATGAAAATGGTTTTCCACATTTCATAAGTAAGAGAAATGAGAAGGTGACATTGGGGTTGAGGACAGAGAGAAAGTGTGACAAATAGAGAGCAGGAAGTGAGAAGTAGGAGAGTCTCCAGAGACTTGGGTAATCCCACACCAGCGTGTTTGGTTTGTACAATATTCGACAGGTAGCCACTTAGCTTGGAACAGTGCTGAGAAAGCAGATTGTACTAGGCGAATAATGATTGTGCGGCGGTAATGTGGAAATACAGAGAGGGGACTGGAATGCCATTGAAAGAGAATACTTCAAGAGACAACATACACTTACAAACAAATCGCTAACATTGCATTTACTCTCCTCTTATCATACACAACATCCTCCCCCTCCACAATCTGCACACACAAACCATGCATATTGTCTGGAAATGTGATGGCACAAAATGAGAATGCAGTGGACAGTTTAAGGAAAATCATTTTCATTCACATTCAGGGAACTGTGATCATCACATTAGCCTGACAATTTATATCGCAATTATTCCAGTTCTCGTGCTGCCCTCTCTTTTCATTACCATTACTAAGAAAGCGCAGTTATTTGATTTACAAAATGCAAGTTGACTCAAGGGTCTTGTGAAGTGGTGGTTCAAATCATCGGCTTATAGTGAGCAGCCCTATTTTTAATTATTGTAAATTATGATATGACAATTATATAATGAACTGAAAGGATATTCTTCTGGCTTTTCTTTCTCTGAAGTCTTACCTTAATATTTCTGTAAAATATACATGCAGCAGCAAATCTGTGTTTCATTATCCTGGTTTAGGGTCCCTGCTGATCTTAAAGTGGAATTCTTTACCCGTTTGTGCCCTGAATTTTCTTGGGCTTTGATAAGGGGTTAAAAAAAAGAAGCTCACTCCTAAATGAATCTCTTACACTACACCAGTGGAATCTGAACGAGTCAGGGTTTAATTCAACATCTGCCAAAATAATAGGCAACCAAAAAAACTGCTTCCCTAAGTTCATACAATATTAACACCGCAAAGGTGGAATCTAAAATGACATTAGCTGTGACTATATTTCCTGCGTCCCAATAACAAAGCAGTTACTAAATTATTTAAGCAGTTATTTTTGGAACAGACAAGGAGACAGACAGATGTTTAGTTTTTTTTTCCTCTTACCAGGAGACACTGCCAGTTGAAAATGATGCAGCTTGTCCTCATCTGGGAAACTGGCTTTGCATGTACCTGAACAAGAACAAATGGGGGAGGGAAGAGTTGTTAGAGTCAAATGTTAAAGCCAGAAGTGGTAATTACTTGCCTTTGTGCCAAATAATGGCATTAACATCAGTAATATATTGTATTTTTCTTAAATGCTTTCTAAACCACAGCGTTTCATACTTCTGTCTGTTCACAGAGACTGCAGGATTTATGCCTTGGGACTCCCTGTGGCACCACATTCCCCCCTGGTGTTCAAGGACATGTACTGCGCTCCAGACCACTGGCATCACCTGGGAGAGCGTTATTGTACCCGAGTTAAATTAAAGTAAAATTAGACTCAAGATACACAAGGATCTTGATGACGCATATTGTGAGACTTATGTAACATGTTTCTTTTTATAATAATGACTCTAATGAATGTAAAAGGAATTAAATGCAACAGTTCGACTGCTTCTTAATCAGGCAGAGAAGATAATATACTGTGGGCTGCATGTAAAGCATAGTGCCCTACAAATAATTAATGATCCTCTTATCAAATCTGAAAGTGAATTTGTCTTTTCCAAACTTTCTCCACCAAGCTCATAGATCATTTATACCAACTTGCCCTGCATTACTGAGGAAATATGAAGTGACTGAGTCATTAAATGTACAAATGTTGAGATATAATAAGTGTCAGAAAGCTGTGATGCATTGCATGCCCAAACAATCATCAGACACATCACATAACATTAAATGACAGCATAAAAATGTGTTTATGTGTGTGGTAGTGGGACAAATCCCCATCTGACTCTCCACTTGTCCAGTAGAGTTATTGAATGAGAAGACAAAAGAGTTCTTATATTTCTCTTCATGCAGTGTAGGAAACAATTCAACTGATTTGAACCTGAATATGTCCCCCAGTAGCCACCGAACCCTGGCTTTCACCTGGACAGCGAAGCTACATCCTTGTAGTGTTACAGCTTTACATACTTTGTTTTTATGTATAATATGCCTTCAGTTTGTCTCTTATTTCTTATTTAATGTTTGTTATTGTAAATTGCTCATTTCAGCCTGAAAATACCATCTGTTCATGAGGAGGTGGGGGAGGTACGCGTTTGTGAGATTTCTGCTGTTTGTGATTAAGTTTCCAACACAAAAATGTCACCTGACTGCCCCGAGAGTGAAAAGAGCAATTTCACACTGTGGAGCTTAAAGTCATGCAGCCAGAAATCAGCAGGAAAAAACATTAAAGACGTACTGCAGCAGTGTCCGTAGCAGTACAAGGGGATCCAAAACAGTTACAAAATATTATTACACAATCGACCAGAAATAGAGAGGGAATGTTTTGACATGAAGTTAGATGCTATAAAACAGTTCGCCATGATTTAGATGGGAGGCAGCTGATGGGTATTTTAGTCACAGAGATACAAGAGGAGAAAGTATTAGCCTATACAGTGGTGTACAGTGAACAGTAGCCAATTTTTTTTAAAAAGTATTATAAAATATCAGACCATATATGGAGAGACCCCCCCCCCTCCTCCTTTTCCCTGGATTTCTGTCTGCCCTTAACAGTGAAAATCCATCACATTCAATAAAGTTGTATTCTATTCTATTCTACTATATAGCTCCAGACTCATGGCACAAAGCCAGGTTTCCATAAAGCAAAGTCCTGAAGCCTCATGAAAATCAAAAGAATACTTTACACAAGACACATATTTCATCATTGTTGTTGATAATGAAGAACAGATTAGATGAGCTTAAACAGTCATGAGCGGTGGATGGTTTCTTTAACGGCGCAGTGTCCTAACTCCACCTCCCTCATTCACCTACTCCTTTAGCCAGTTTACACTCAGCTCCCTAAGAACAACTGTGATGTTAGTCTGAATGTATTCCTGAGAATCAGAGGTATATCTTATACATAAGCAAGTGCAGGTCAGCTTCTAGTATGCAGCAAACACACTGGCTATTGAACAGATACATGCATCATGCATCCCCCCCAGTACCAATATTTTCTAGGGGCTTGCAGTGTTACAAATGCTAAACACTGCTGGATTATTAATTGTTTGAGATATGTCTTATTTAGAAAATGTATGGCACAATAATATTTCCCAGTCTCTCCCAGGCTCCAGGGCAAAACTCATCAGACCACAAACAAAAACAGGTATGCCAAATACAGCCAAAGCAATCATAATTCATTCAGCACTAATGCATAACAATAACCAGATAATTGACTAATGAAGATCTGATATTCTGTAGTGTAAAACAAAAGCCAGGAACCTAAATAGTGGTAGGGGTTACAGTCTGTTTGAACAAATAAATCCTGATGCCAAAAGTATAAAAAGTATGAAACTCATCCAAGCCTCACAGCGCATGTGTTTATACTTAAGCATGGCACATTTCCAGCTTAATACAGCAACATTTATAAGGGCTGGGCAATCTGGCAAAAACTAAATCTAAATAATGTTAGGCCTTCATGAAATGGCTTTGCAAATGGATCATCCTAAAATCCAGACTAACCCACTTTTATTGAAGACATTTTGATGTGCGTAGACAATTGCAAAACATTCCATCTGAAAACCGTATAAGCCCTATTTAATCAAAAATATAATTTACTGCAAATCTGACACATTCATCTAATTTATTGTGAAAAAGCCAATTATCAGATTCTGGTTGAATAGCTACACGGCATAAAATATTCTTTCAAATAACCTACATCTTAAATGATCAAAGCAATCCGAACACAGAGCACATCTATGGGCTTGGTTTTTGTTTTCCTGCCTCATCTCAAACATTTGTAGAATTGTTCTAATATTCCCTCATTCCCGAAACACAAATATATTGACATATATTCGGCGAAGCCAGAATAATAAATCAAGCACGCGTTACCCTCGTTTAGCAACATTCCTCCATGTTGTAGCAAAAAGACAAAAAAAAACAACTAAATAAAAGCTCCTTAGTTGGGAAAAAGAACCAGGCGGACACTATAATAATGTGTGGTATATTAAGTCTATTATTAACTGCCACACTATTGACTAGACAGAGATGTGGGGCTTAACAAGCATTGTAAACATGGAGAGGAATGGAAAGTGTAATGAATTCAGAGAGAATGAGTCTCCACTAATTGAATGAGATCGGTGTGTATGGAAGTGTAAAGCGTACTTACTAGGGAGATTGGCTTCAAGTTCTGCAACTTCTGTTAAAAGAGAAAAAGAATAATGAATAAGCAGAGCGGAGAAGAGGGTAAAGACCGACACCACAAACAAACCCATGCACAAATATGTCAGATCTATACAAAAGGAGAGCTGACACTGTCACACTCTTACAGGTACAGAAATGCTACCTGAAGAAAAACATTAATGTCTTACATGCAAGTTACAAAATGAGTTGTCTTCGGCATGCAACACGACGTTGCGGAGAAAAGAATGACTTCATCAGTGGGTAACAAAAACGGGAGGACGGAAAAAGAAGACGCGCAAAAGAGCAGAGAGATGTTCAGCTGGTGTTGCCTCTGGGTTGCGTCTGGTTGGATTTTTCACTGCTCATTTGTGTCAGCTAGTTTAACACTAACAATCTACAAAATGGCAGGAACAATTGCTTTGTCTCAACTATGTTGTTGTTCTGGTAACAATCTTCCATTGTCATTTACACAAACACATTCTTTGAGATGCGCAGAGTGTAATTATTAGGTACTTCTTTCACTTACCCCCCTCCACATGGCAGGCACAGCAGAGGCTCAGCTATTTAACAGCTCCCTCAGAGATAGTGGGGAGTTACTGTTTTGTCCAATGAGACATACAACTGGTTTTTATCAGAACGAGTAGTTCTCCGCAGCCCACTTCTGCCAAATGTCAAGTCCCTATCCATATTTTAAAAAGTTCTGCCCCAGGGTCATCCACAATTTATTTTAATGGTTCTCAGCTGTGTATCGACGTCCAAACACTAAGTCAGGGTCCTCCTTTCTGGCTGAAGGTGTGCCTAACAGTGATATCAGCTGCTACAGTGTTTGACTATATACCCTTTGTCCCAGTTTATTCAACAAGCACTGTATTTCTATCTCAAATTAAGCTATTTTACATGTCCAACGTCCCTGAAAAGTAGTGATCAGTGGGATCTGGTTTGTGAATCAGACCAAGATACTGAAACAATCAAATTCCACTGGCAAGAGCAGGACAGATAGACAATAATAAGATCTCGTCAGGGAGCAGGATCCTTTGTGCTTCCGCAAGATGGGGTATGTCTTATTCAAACACCAGTTTGTTAGAGCAAGCTTGTCATCCTCAGGTTCAGCGTTAGGAAGTGCCTGGTCCCAAGACAGCTCATTTAGAGGTTTCCTGCCTCAGAACTTGACTTGACCTTGTATTATTATCAAGCCTGTGAGCATCAAACCATACCAATTCAGTACCTCGAGGGAAAAATAACTTCCACAAGGCAATAGCCATCCAAGAGAGAGAAAAGTAAGTCACTCAGATGATGTGCTGAAGGGCATTACACTGATAGGTGTTTGTAACATTGTCCCACTATCATTTACATAATACTGTAAATGATAGTGGGCCAGCAGTGGGCAAACAATGGCTGAATCTACTCTGAATATAAACAATGCAATGTTATGCTGTGTTCTGCAGGCTACAACATCCCTCTAGACATTAACACTATTACCAAATAAAGCCTGTTCTCCAGCAGGTCACTGAATCATAGTGATTGATGGGTAAAGCGATACATTTAAGTAAATGTATGAAGTAAAGCAAAGAAAGGTGAGACCAGAGAAAAGAGCAAACATTATGGAGAAGGGGTGGGAATGAGACAAACATAAATGGAAGAAAAGAAACTGAGAAGGACAAGAACAACTCTTTGAAATTTAAAGGAGGACAAAGGAGGCAGTTGTCTGGAAACTGCCGCTCAAGGCAATAAGAGGTAACTATAAATAAAAAACCAAGGAGGAAGGCGGAAACCGAGCAAATAAATAGAAAAAGAAGCCCAAACATCCACGGAGGAAGAGTAGCATTAACTATTTTGTATTTCTGTATTAAATTAAAACCAGGTTCAAACAACTAAATCAAATAACATCTGTCATGGCCTACAGTGTCAGTCATAAAACATTTAGCTGCCTAGCCGTGGTTTGCTTCTGTATAAATACACGATGGACGAAGTGAACCATGACCCAAGTACCTTTGGTTAGGAGGCGGTCCCTGATGGAGACCCTGTGGGCGGAGTCGGAGGCTCCAGAGGCACGGCCCGTCTTTCCTCCATCATCCCTCTTCAGCTTACTGGCCAATGTAAGCATGGCTACGCTGCTGTAATCTTCCTCGCTCCGCCCCACGCTGTGCTGTGCTGCAATGCACTGCTTCTCAGATGCCTAACAATCACACAGAACATAAAGAATGTGTTAATCCATCCAATTATATTGCAGAATTGAGCAAATGTTGTGGTAATGTAATTTTTTTCCAATTTTAAACAAACAACAGCACAAATTTTTGCACACATAATGTTTAAACACTGCAGATACACATCATATCTAATAATAAACAAAGTGGCCACGTTTACAAGAAGCCTGTGTGAAATCAATTCAACTTTACTTTAATACCAACTTTAAGCCAGTACCATGGTCAAGGGCACTGACTGGAGAATGAACCTAGCGAACGGTCGTCAGGTCGAGACGTCTCAGCCCTGTGACAGACCCGCGACCTGTCTAGGCTGCCTTAAGCTCAGTGTGCAGGAAGAGACTCTAGCCACTCATGATGATGTACAGATTAAGCAGATATAGATGACGGAAGGCTTAATGGATGGAGAAAAAAAACAACAGAGAAAAGTCTTTAAAAGGTAAATGATATCCGAGGCCAAAGCTCAGTTGTGCTTAGAAATTACAGATACTGGGATCTTTTCACATCAGCTATCGCTTGTCTTCATCACCATCTACAGAACTCAGCATCTCAATAACAACAGAGCATAAAAAAGAACAGAAACAGGAGAGTGTTGAATAGAGGGTCAAAATCTACTCCTTCCTACGCTTATTATAGCAATAAACTGACTATGACACTATTTAATTACAGTGCAATTAGACTCCAAGTTGTCTACTAGTGTAAGTGTTGAGTTGTACTCATGTTAATTGCAGTAAACTGAGGTAAATCACTAGACAGCCTCCTTTTGTGAACAGATAAACCACGCAGTTGAATTCTGACCATCTGCTCTTAACATCCATGATCCAATCAAGCTTGCATTCAGAGAAACGAGAGGAGTTCATTTAGGTTATGCTGTATATTTCCTTGGAGTTTCGACTGAGACACACATGAGTATCGCCTTCAGATGAACATTTGAGCGCTGCTCAAAGATGCCAAAACCATACATTAACGGTCTTCAGTAGTGGGTATTCGGTTATGGGGCCGTTGTAAGCAACAAGAAACTCAGAAGTTCGTAAAAAAAAAAAAAAAAAAAAAAAAAGCAAAAAAAAGAGATTAAAAAACGAATTATCTTCGACACTTTCATTTAACTCTCTCAAAAAAGTGAGTGCATCAGACAGAAGGGAGCCTTCAGACACAAGTATCACAAATTGCACAATAATATTCAACAGACTCACTGTAACAGCGAAGTACTTCAATGTTATGCTTCTGCCAACTTTCCTATTAATGGTGCTGCAGCAGGAAGCCATTATCTATGGCAGGACATTGTTAAACTCAGGGATGAAAGCATTCACTCCTTGTAAACACGTCTTCTGGTAACTATCGATGCCAGCCAAGAACCAACCGCCGGAGTGGTTGGTTCCTGATCTCCTGGGAGACTTTCTTACGCCACACAATTAATATATAATATAATATAATTTTGCATTTATTGCTTTATGCATTTGTAACATCAGACAAAAAAAATTACACATAATGGATTCAAATATTTCAAGAGAGACAGTCTGGCAAAGATGCGTTAAAATATTTGATGTATAAAATGTTGTCATTCAAAAGTTAGACAGTATGTCAACTCAGCTTAGGCGGTTTGTACTTCTTCATACCTTTCTACTGACACGGCACTGTGCTATACCGTATATGATGGTGTTTGTGTAGAAAAAAGAATATATAGCTGAGCTGCTGGCGATAGAAGTCACTGTGGCATGCCAGAGCACCGAGTCAAGGGAGAGGAGATGAGAGACAGTCGGAGAAATAAACGAGCCGGAGCAACGTAATTTCACAAGTCGTGCTCTAAAAAGGAAACATAGACGACGGGAACAGCTTTTTGATCCAGAGTGGACGGACTCTTACGTGATCATTCTTCCCACTGGCAGACAGTAGTGGGTATTAAAAGCGGCAGCGTGAAGCACTACTTTATGAGACAGAGCACAGAGCACGGTTTGAGGCAAACATACCCACACAAATCCAAACTGTGCGCTCTGACAACAAACGATCCAAGAGGAGAGATCCATCAGAAAGAGGAGCGTCTGTGTTTATTGAAAATCATAACTTCAATACGTCAACATCTAAAAACACAATAAAAAAACGATTAAAGCAGCTTTTCAGGGAATGTAAAATGTTCAAAAGACATTCACAATCCTTGTTTCCTGGTGCAGAAGCATCAGCAGAGCCTCACAACCACCCGAACACAC